CTTTGAAGCTGTCTCATTCATAAGCTTCTCAATAAAATTAAAATTAATAAAAAATAACCCTATGCTAGTAGCTACAGCCTAAATCCATCTAAGACAACAAAATATAATCAACAAGCCTATCACAGCCCGGCATTTTTGCATATAGTTAGAGTAAGGATGACACAAACTCTTTGTACATACCCATATGTTAAAGCATACTACAGCTCTATTTTAACATTATCACTTCATTCTCTCTGAAACTCATTTACCTAGATGTATAAACACATAGAATAGCAATTTCATGCTTTTTAGACTTTGTCATTCACAAATCAAGGTTACTAATAAAGGAAATGCTTACTGAAAGTTCACTACAGATCTCACTGTTTTTGATTCCTCCACATGGGGAATCCCAGGAAATGGATTATTGCCCCTGTTGTTACATAAAAGGCAATTGATGCTGAAGAGGTTAAACAACTTGTTTAATATAAAAGTAGTCAGGACACTGAGGCAGGAGTATCACAAATTCAAGGTCAGCCTAGACTACATGGTGAGACTCTATCTCAAAAAGCAAAGAAAAATGTAATGTTGAGTGAAAATGCTGACACAAAACTATACAGTGAGGTTGATCCAAATGATATGGAGAATTTCTTTAAGGACAACATCGTGATGATTTTGTCTCAGGAAAAGACTACTAGGCACAAAGACCATGTTTTAGTTTATAATGCTCTGATTTCAGTACATGCATGAGAGAAAATGAGCATCACATGGCTAGAGGAACATTTTAATTCCTTTTATTGGTTTAAGGATCAATAATAATTGAACTCCACTTCTCTGAGGGATGAGTAAAAGGTGAGGCTCAATTCCGATGCAACAATAGAACCAGCAGGGAGCAGATGCCCTATCATGGGCCATGTGTGATGCTAACATCTAAGAATAAGGCCAAAATTTATACACCCACCCTGGGGTCATCTGGGGAGCTGTGTAGGGGACTAGTAAATCACAGGTCTGGGTGTGCCTGGCTGGATCACAGAAGCATGACCTTGGAGTACACATCTGGCCCCTGCCCCTTCTTCTCTGGCACTGTCCCCCTGCTCTGCTCCCCAGTCATCATGCACAGAGCAATTTTACCCCACCAGGCTCTTGGTCATGGACTGAATCTCCTGAAACCATAAGCCAAGTTAAACTTAACCCTGTTTGAAACTGTGGGTGTTAGGTATTATGTCTGAAGTACCATAAAATGACTGACACACAATCATCTCAAAGAAGGAAATCAAAGTAGTGCTGCCATTAAAAAAAAAAAATAGGATGAAATCCTGTCACTTAATAGAACTAGAGATCATTATATTAAGTAACATGAGCCAGGCACAGAAAGACAAATATTCCACCCCTATGTGAATCTTAAAACATTGACCTCCTAGGGCATGAGAACAGAATGGTGGCTACCAGAGGCTGAGGAGAATAGAGAGGAGGCAGGAACAGGAAGAGACTGATCAATGGATACTAAGTTCCAGTTAGACAGGAGGAACTGGCTCTGATATGCTGTTGCACAGCAGGGTGGCTATAGGTAACAGTCATGTCTTATAGGGGTCAGGGATACAGCTCAGCAGCACAGTGCCTGCATGGCAAGCAAAAGGTCCTGAGTTCAATTCCCAGTACTAAATAATGACGATGATGATGATGATGACAATGATGATGATGATGATGCCTTGTATATTTCAAAAGACTAGAAGAAGGGATTCTACATGCCTATTTAGAAAATATTTATGAAAGTATTAATAAATTAGTATTGGAGATTGTCCTTTTACCCTACCAATGTAAAATTTAAATCACTGTTTAGTTTCTGACCCTTGATTATCAGACACCTCCCCCTTAAAGCTCCTCAAGTAGCAGCGCTGGGTAGTCCAGACGCTTCCTGAAGTCAGGTACCTCTGGGATCCAGATGTGCTTGGGAGCCATCCCCCTCCTGGAGGGCACATGTGGGGGATTAGGGCATTGCCTGACCTCTGCCTAGAGTTGATAAACCCATTTAAAGGGTCCAAAGTCATGATGGTGATTTGGCTTCATCTTACAGAATTGCAGAATTTTAGGATTTAGTTTTCATCTTTTTTTTTTTTTTTTTTTTTTTTTTTTTTTTTGAGACAGGGTCTGATATGCAGTTCAGGCTGAACTTGAGCTCACCTTGTAGCCCAAGTTGGTCTCCAACTCTCAACAATCCTCCTTCCTCAGCCTCCTCAGTGCTGAGATTATAAGCATATGCCACCATGCCCAGATATAAGGGTTTCATTTTTATAGGTAACCTACTCTCCTGAGTAACCAGACCTGTAGTACTAGGCCACTGGTACCTGGCTCATCCTTTCTTTTGCATTGTTAGGGGCTTCTCACTCCCCTTTGTAAGTATTTTGCTGTAGGTGCTGCTCTAAATATGCTCTAAGTGTGTCCAGACATATCAACAAATATTAATTTCTGGTAGAGAAAGTCTCTTCAGTTTTTAAGTTTTGGCTTGTTTTTTATTTTGTTTTGTTTTGCTTTGCTTTGCTTTTTAATTAATTTTATTGAGAAACAAATAGCAATGAGACAGTTTCAAAACAGGTTAGTAGGACAGTTATAATAGTTAATACATTGCATATTATTGTCTTCGTGGTACTTATAGTACAAGATGCAGACATGATATCCTGTCCAAACACTATTAGTACAAATCTTTCTTCTCATTGAATTAAGAGAAAGTAGCTGTATATTTATTCTAACTATTTTGTATATACAGATACAAAATGGTCCTTCATTTGTATCCCCCTTTTTTTTTTTATTAGTACATGCCTGCAGTACGTGCATGTTGCATCATGTCGGGGAGGGGGTACATGCCCGTAACACAACTGGCTTCTTCCTTAGTTCCCTTCCAATCCTTCCCCACTCCCTCACTCCTCTAATTCTCCTTTCCCCATTTTCATTCTTACTGTTCTTGTTAATCTTAGCCCATATCTATGGCACATACTGCTTATATTCACTGAGGTTATTTTGAGGGAAAATAACTTACGATAACAAGTCAATTTTTTTATTTGATAATCACCAAAATAATTTAAAAGTAGGATCCCCAAAGATTTCCATTACTTCACTTTCACAGAACAAATGTACACTTAAATCAGAAACAGACTCACTCATATCTAATGGGACCACAAAGAGTTGGTGAGGAATGAGAAAGTGGTGAGGACCACTTTTTCTAAAACTCATACTGGACACAAGAGTTGCAGGACGGCTTCTCCATCGTGCCTGCTAATTTTCAGCCAGCTAATCCCAGGTACCGGAAAAGACTGGTTGTGGGTCTTTTGGAGACTCACTGAGAGGGTCTTTTTCAGCTGCTGTCTTCTATTCAGTTGCTGCCTGGCATGCACACAACCGTTTTCTAACAGGTTATCAGTGTGGGCCATGGCAGGTAACTTCCCCCATGCCATAACTCACCTTAAGGCCAGGAGTTCTGAAGCATACCAGCCTTGATCACTTGCCCAGCTGGACTGCTCCTTAGCAAGCAATTCTGACGTTGTCACAAAGTAGACCGTGGGGCATGCCCATGTCCACAGACCTGGCTCACAGTCTGAGAGGTGGGGTGGCCCGGCAGCTGTAAACACACACTACAGAAATAGATCACCCGAGTCACACACGCAGTCTCCTCGCTGGTTGTACAAACCTTGGACAAGTTGCTTAAACTCCTTCAGCTGTAATTTTCTCATTTCTAGAATGGGCATCATGCTAATGACCTACAGGGTCCTATTACAGGGCTGTTGTCAGGATTAAATGAGTGACAGCTGCAGAGAAGTTAGACCTGTTTTACTGAGATTAGAAGGGGGCAAAGTAGGCATGATTTTAAATAGGGCACCAAATGCCCCTGTCTTACCCTCAATCTAAAAGCACTCTCTGGGTATTTGGTCAGAGACTGAGTAATCAGCAACTCTCTAAACCTTTGTATCTTCACCTATAAATTAGTGCTACTGAAGAAAACATAGAAACAACTTCCATTAACACAAGCTATTGCATCATCCATAAACTTAATCCGTAACAATGACTGCAGTATTCATTAGGTGGTAACGCGAGCGAGGCACAACCATAAGGATTTAATATCTGGTACGTGAAGAGTTAATGCGTAGCCTCCTTTTGCTCTGTTTTCCTTTAGAGCCCACGGGCTTGCTCATCACTTCTTCCCAAGTGGCTTTTGCTTCTCTTCCCCGGCCAGTGACAATGCCCAGTTCAGGGCCTGAAGAGAGCCACCAAGTGAGCGTGGGAACTCTGCCTCGCTTCGCCTAGCCTGGGATGGGAACCCACATCTTTATTCAAAGTAGGGATTTCTCAGGGTCTGAAAATGAAGTAGAACTTTTTATCTAAAAAAAAAAAAAAAAAAGTTGAGTTTCTTGCAACACAGCAGGCCAAATTCCAGGAGAAACTCTGCCTGACAATTCCACAAAATGCCAAATAAAATATAAAAACACCTTGCGTGCACCCTTCTGAGAGCGAAAGCTCAGGGAACACAGGGAAGGAAGGCGGCGGGGCGGCGGATTTGCTCTGGAGCATTTTCTGGCCCGTGTGAACTTGAGCACAGACCTTCATTTTCTGCAGCCAGATGAGAAAACTCAGGGACCACCCACGTTGGACTGTCCCATATTAGAGCCCTCATAAAACCTGGGCCCAATAGCATACTCTTGTTGAAAGAAAAAGCTAAAATAAACTATCCACTTCCACCTCCCCCCCAAGAAATTGCACCCTTATCAATCTCTAAAACTGGCAGTGAGTAGAGTAAGTGAAAATTAGACCCTAATTATGCTTTTAAGTGTGACCACAATCGTTATAAGCACAAGCTGGCTCAAGTCTGTGCTCAAACTGACACGGAGCAAGTTAAAAACAATTTTTTAAACCTAAAAACAATGTTATGTAAAGTGATCCTGGGTTGGTACTGTCCAAATACATTAAAAAAAAAAAAAAAAAAGCAAGTGTAAATTCTTGATAGAAGCCTCTTTCATTCCAGGACACAAACAGTTTCCATGAATATATTTCCAAGAAAACTAAACAACTCAAAGGTCAAAATTAATAAACACATAAAGGAATGTCACTCTTAAATAACAGCCAGCAGACATGAAAGATAGCACAAGCAGATGCGGGAAACTTCAGAGACCTAAATTGTAAGAAGCAAAAGCACTCAGGAGGCTGAGATAGGAGAATCTCTGTGAATTCAAGGCCAGCCTGGGCTACAAAAAAACGAGTTCAAGGCCAGCCTGAACTATGCAGCAAAACCCTATCTCCAAAACAAAACAAAAAAACAATAGGAAAAGAAGAAGAATGAAGAAGGAGGTAGAGGATTTTGAACGTATTTAATCCTACAAACTAAAAATAGTACCAACTGAAATTAAACCCATCACTGATAAATTTAATAGCTGGCAAGATATAAAATAATAGAATTAGTGTACTAGAAGTTTAGTGAAAAATTATCAAGGCTAAAGGTTAAATGAACAAATAATTTAAACAGTAAAAAAAGAGAAATTAGACTTCACCAAAATTTTGAAAATTTTTGTATAGAAGGACAGTATCAAGAAAAGGAAAAAAAAAAAGGAAGAAAATATTTGGAAATTATATCTCTGGTAAGATCCTAATAGCCAGATACACAAAGACTTATGCAATACAACAGGAAAAGGACGGGTGTGGTAGTGTGGCTTACTGTCTCAGCACTCAAGACACTGGGGCATGAGGGCTGTGAATTGAAGGCCAGCCTGGACTACACAGTGAGACCCAAAAACCAAAAGGCAGCAGGGGGCAGGGGAGATAGCTCAGCAGCCTGAGCACTTGCCTGGCAAACACAAAGACCTGAGTTCAATCCCTGGCACATGAAATCCCAGCCAGCACTGGAGAGGCTGAGACAGGAGGATCACTATGAGTCTGAACCGCATAGAGAGAGCCTATATATATACATATATATATAAATTTTTTTTAAGGCAGAGAGATGGTTGGAGACACAGCTCAGTGGTAGGGCCCTTGTCTAGCATGTGCAAGGCCCTGGCCTCAATTCCCAACACCTCAAAAACAAACAAAACAGATAAACACCCCAAGTTAAATAATGGAAAAGGGATTGAATAGACAGTCTTCAAAAATGGTATCCAAGTGGCTGAGAATCACATGTAAAGATGCTCAACATTAGTAGTCATTAGGAAATGCAATTAAAACCATAACACGTCATGCCGACTAGAGTGACAGGGTTTTTGTTGTTTTGTTTTGTTTTCTTGGTACCAGGGATAACCTCAGGATCTCGCACTTGCCAGGAAGGCGCTTATACTGCTGAGCTATATCCCCACCTTTGTTCAAGCAGTGCTTGGCAAATCAGAAGAAAGAAAACAAGGGATGGGTGGAAGCAACATTTGAAATGATAATGGCTGAGAATTGTCTCTAACTGGTGAAAGACAACAACCCACACATTTAAGCATCCTACAAACCTCAAATAGAAAAAGTGAAAAGAAATTCACACCTAGGTACATCGTAGCAAAACATCAAAAATAAGACACATAGATCCTAAAAACAGGGAAGCAAGGGAGAAGGAAAGTAAAAAGAAAGAAAATGTACTATGCACACGTACAAACTGCCCATGATGGGTGTCCTCATTGTGCATGGCAAACATGTGCTAATACATTTTTTAAATTTTTAAATAAAGGAAAAAAAGACTATCTTAGATACAGACAGCTGAACTTCACAATAGCAGAATCCAGGGGAGATTGGATGAAATACATAAAAATATTAATTATTAAAACAACTATTAAGTTAGAAATCTGCACAAAACAAAAATTGTCTTTTTGAAGACTGAGAACAAGTCACGTGGCCCTTGCCCCTCATGCCAGCATGCAGGAGGCTGAGGCAGGAGGATGCCAGCAGCTCAAGGCAGATGTGGAACCACACTCTGAGATCCTGTCTCAAAAACAACAAAGAGAAAAACAATAATTAATACATTGCACATTGTTGTCTTCGTAGTAGTTATTCACAGTACAAAATGCAAATATGATATCCTGTCCACACACTATTAGTACAAATTAACATCATTGTATAATAGCATTTTATTTACAGAAAAAATGAGAATAGTACAGAATCTCCGTATACTTACCGTTTCTATTATTAACACCTCAAATTATGGTACATGTGTTACAATTAATGCACTACTGTATTACATTATTGTCAGCTAATGTCCTTATAAATGTAGACTAATTTAATGTAATTCTTGATTTGAGGATCCTTTTCAAAATACATTATTTGTCAATCTATTTTTGAGGTTTTCTTAACTATAAGATTCTCAGACTTCTCTTATTTTGATGTTTATAGTTCTGAACACTACTCAAGTACATATTTTGTTGAATGCTCCTCTAAGGAAATGTGATGTTTTCCTCAAAGTTAGACTGGAGATAATGAATTTAAGAAGAATAATCTGAGAAGTATCACTTTCTTAACATCACAAGTACATATTATCAATGTGAGTTATCATTTTTATTAAAAAATGTTTATCACTATTATATTGACCTTGATCACATACCTAAAGGTAGAATTGTCAGGTTTTACTATTATGATGATGATTATTATGATTATTATCATTATCTAAAGATAATATAAAATAGTAAAAAAAAAAAAATTAGCAACGAAACAGAACTTCACCAAACAAAACAATAAGAATTCAATAATGGTTGCTGTATTGCATAATGTTGTCTTCAAACTGGTTGTTCAGATCACCAGAGGTAAGCATGCAAAATTGGTTTTAAAAAGTTATAAATATTAAAAGGACAAGAAAAAAATTAAGCATTAACTGCTTCCCTCTATAGGTCAGCAAAATCAGCAGTGCAATTATCTAAGTCATCCTGCGTACATAAATATATCTCTTTACCCGTTCCATCCTTTTCCTCATCCCACTTTTTCCTTCACTTTGAACAGATCCTTTCCTTTTCAAAGTATCTATTCTACCTTTCATATTTACTCTTTCAGATTCTTATACTAACGAGAAAATAAAATGTTTCCACATGCAAAAAAAAAAAAACAATAAAGAGGCATTAAGAAACAGTAAATATGTCTACAATCACAATAAAAATGAATAGACTCTTTTAGCTAATAGACAAAGCAATCAAGCAGGGTTTGGCTTTTTTAAAATCCTGATTTACGTTTGATAATAACAATAAGCTTGTCTTCTGGATGGTTAACAACCTAAGTTTGCAGACCAAAATTAGAGAAAAAGGAGGACTACAAGGAATGCCAACATTTTGGCCCTAACCTTCTAAGGTCAGTTAAGACTCAGGACATATGAGAACTTGTACTGTAACGTCATGTACCTCGGTAGTGTCCCAAATTTTCTGATCAAGAAGATTATGGGGCCAAAGAGGAAAGTGATCGATGATGTAGAGTATGCCTAAGGAGAGTCATATGGGGAGAAGGCACTCTCTCAGGCTTTTACAGAGAGCACATTGGCCAAGCATTGGCCGTGACTCATCCACATAGCTGACACTGACAAAGGTTTTACAATCTGAGGTACAGGATCTCAGGATAAATCCTGAGGGCATTTCACTGACCTTC